GTGTGGAGGTGGTAGCATTCGTCATGCTGCACAAGACAAAAAACGTGTTAGCGAACACGAGTCACCACTAATACTATACTTTTGTGAATCAAAGCAAAGTTTATACGCACATGAATGATTAAAGGAGGCGTGAAAGTCTAAGGAAAATACAGCACAGACAGAGCGAGACCGCGGGGGCGAGAGCGACGTGTGGGGGAAAGTTGGCAACAACAAGATGACAGCAAAAAATTATTCCGCTCCCGTCCGGCATTTAGCGGACGGCCACGCCGACGCGCTTACGAACTGCTTCCCATTTCTTTCCTTCTGTCCTACTCCTATGCACTCGCTATCTGCATAGATTATACCGACATCCCATATCATTATTCAGTGAACGTTTCATGGTTTTTTGGACAACGAACAACGACGAAACTTGGCCCGGATATGCCCACCGTCTGTCCCGATCCGGAAGGAGGTGACCGCCGTAGCGAACCACACTATTTACCGCCCATTACATACATACTACTCGCAAACGCGCATATTCAGGCAGGGTGTTGTCTTGCAGCATGGCTGATCGCGAGTTTGGAGGAAACTGAATCGCCAAACACTGACACTGGCCGCGCTCCAGCTCCTTATTCAAGAAGATCTGCCTTCCGACGCGCGCCACACTAGCGGTATGACCCCTATTCGCATTCATGCCCAATCGATTTTACGAGTGCCTTCTTCGCTGAATGGTGGATACTCTTGTGCGCTTCATCTTTTATACCTCTCTTTCACCCAGTCGACCACAAGTCGCTGGACTATTACTGGTCTGGCCAAGGCTCCGCCGCGTGGATGGATCTACTGAACCGAAAATTCTGCTGCTGGCAGTGCTGCTATTTTTCTGGCCGTAATACTCGAAATTGTACTCCGAGGTTGTCCAAGTACGGGGCCTTTCCGTCCCGGTGACACCAATACACAGACTCGAAACGGAAGCCACTGTCGACCCTGGTGCAACAATGCTCACGACAATTAATCCTCCAACCAGCACCAGATGACCACCATGGTGCACTTCGTTTAAAATCCTTCTTCGCTCATTTCTTCCTTGCTGCCCCGGAACTCCAGCCAACAAACTCGAATCCAACCTCATGTATTGTGCCTCGCTCACTTATTCTACGCACTCAGCACTCTCAGAACTAGGGACAGGGGACCGACACTCTTCGGCGCTCAAAGCTCTTGTCTTGGCTTTCTTCTTCAAGACCGTACATCTCGTCGGACTAATCAGGGGAGAAGGGGGCCGATGAATATGTCACGAATAGCGCCTGTCAGATGTGGATGTGCACTTTCCCTCCTCTGACTCTAAAGGTAATTCACTATACCTGTTCAAGTTGTACATCTACGTAGTACAATGGATGGCCTGTTCAACTGTACGGTGTCGATAATGGCACTGATTTAATGCTTGAAAAGATAAATAGCGTTGCAAAATTAAATAATGCCGGCATTTCGCGGCGGCCCGGCCGACGCGTTTACCACGTCCTCTCCACAGTTTGTCCTTTTCTTCCCCACTTCATTCGTCCACTAGACGCGAGGATTCTGCCAGAACCATTCTTTACGCCAGTCCGGTCCTGGTATAACTTGTAAGACGAAAAATGACGGAATAAGGCCTGGGATGTGCACCTGTCCCAATGCGGAATGCGCGGCTGTCAAGACGCTTCGAATTCATAACAAACTTGAAACCTTGCTCTCACCAGAGCACCGGTGACTTGCTTATCGACGCGATGCCCAGCAATATAACTCTTCTGCTCCTCCTCATCTTCATATTCGCATTTTGCCTCTCCGAGCATGGCGTGTACGCGTTTGGCGCAGGGAACATCCCCTCGTGAGTCGGATCCGTCCCCCCTTCCAGGTTTTCACTGCCAAGCCAATGGATGTCAGGCTGAACATGGGGCATCGGGTATAGGTTTGCATACATGGAAGGCCGGGCGTTTAGGCATGGCGATATCGTGCGTCGATTGGGCCTGCGATCGAGTGTACTGGTTTGATCTTTTTTTATCGTTGTAGGAAGATGCACTAGCGGAACTCGTCAAGAAAGGCGCGGGCGGCGGGTTCGCGCTCGCTAGTATTCTTTCGAGGAGCCAGAAGTTTGGTGGGATGGATATCAAGCGTGTTTATTTCGGGTGTGTGGTCATAGTTATCTGTGCATGGGCTGGATTTATATGGTCGCCACAGGAATTGGTTGCGCGACTACAGTCAGGTGTGTGTTACTCCCTTTCCTTACTGTATCCCCGTTGACCCATCTCGTGGGCGCTCAGGCATGCGATATCGCAACGTTCAAGAAGATGCCCCAGCAGACGATCATTAACCTTGTCATGGTCCTCGGGTTCATGGTGCGCCGACAGCCAACCAATGGTACTGATTCACGGCATTCATTCTACATTTCCAGGCCCATGGGTACGCCACGGGCGAATTTGAAGTCACCCCCGAGCGCCTAGGTGTCTACCTCCCGACGGAGCACATCGACAACCCCAAGGGCTACGGCGAGGGCGAGGATCCCAGGCAGTACCATCCAAAGTTAAGGCCGCCTGTCGATGTGCGTGTCTTCCCAGTCGTGTCAGCATCTTCTCTGATATGGGTCTATACAGCCCCGCGAGCTGGAAATCGACCCGAGGACCGGGATGAAGAATTATATTGCGAACGGTGTGCCTTCAGCTGTTACTTACTTCCATTTCAATTGAATACTCTAACAGAAAACGGCAACTGGGACACCTCGAAAGCACTTGTGCGCCGGCAGCTCGAAAAATGCATCCACCTCGGGCGGCAGCAGCGCGCGAATGGCAGGAGGGAGGACGAGTACGAGGCGTACAGGCTGCTCGGGACATTGGTAGGCCTTACCCTTCACACGTTACCTCCGAAACCAAGGAACTGAAAACAACAATTCGCACAGCTGCACACCCTGGAGGACTTCACCGCGCATTCGAACTGGTGCGAGCTTGCGCTTGTGCAGATGGGGTACCACGACGTCTTCCTCCATGTCGGTGACCAGGTCCGCGTACAGGCGCCCAACGGCAAGTGGGTCGCGCCGATCGTCACAGGCACCTTCGGGTCCAATGATTTCGCGCATTCCATGCTCGGAGGTGGGTCTCCCTTTTTACTCACCTGACGGTACCTAATTTTTGCATCTCCAGAGGCGAACGATCACCTCTCCCAGGCCTCCGTGACGGACCTGAACCGCTCCCTCGCTGAAGCACGCTCATCCTCTACGCGTTCCGGTACGCAACCTGGGAGCATACTCCGCGACCTCCTCTTCACTCTGCCGGACGGAATTGGCGGGAGCATGTCCCGCGACCTCGATGCGGTTGAGCGGATCCGTGCGGGCCCCGCACAGGGAGGCCAAAGACCGGAGGATATGAGCCCCCAGGAGCTGCACTCGGTCCTGTGGCAGGTGCTGACTTTTAGGGACACGGGTGAGTTATATCTGGGCTGCTATTTTTTTGAGCAGGCAAATTGATTTGGTGGACGTACTTTAGTGATGAAGAATATCTCAAATACTATCGAGAACATTCCTGGGCTAGGCCCGCTCATCGAGAAGATCTCTGATTCCATTGGTGGTATGTGTGTTAGTCTCCATCTATTGATTTTCTTCTTTATGCCATCCCGTAGTCTTCGTGTTCACGACACTCGAGGTGGGTCCTTTCGCCCGTCCATCTCATCTTCTCTGCTGACACTAGTCTTTCGCCTGTGCAGCCGTTCCTTAAGCCTCTCTTGAAGACGACCACTGCTGGCCTAAATGAGATTTCTGGCCAAGTCATCAGCGGCCATGACCAGTATGAGGTGTTCAATGACCCTCGCGCCGTGCGTGTTCTACCTTCGTATCGGTGACCACGTCACCTGACAGTTTTGTATCCAGTCGGACCCGACCCACTCCTTCCTGAGCAAGGATCACTTTGTATATTGCTCTTGTACTATTGGAACGTATGAAATTTAGCTGATCAAATGGGTCAACTAGAATCTTATCCTCAATGAACCGGCAGGACAAGTCGCTCGGGTTGTCGTCGTACGTTTACTTGTTTCTTTTTGCGTGGAGGTAGCTCAGCACGTCAGTAGATAAAGGGATATGTGAACCAAATCCCCGGCGTCGCACAGGCGCAGCAGATATTTGGTGGAGGAGGCGATAAGCGTGACGTACCGGGTGGCTACTATGGTGGCTCCAGCGGATATGGCGGTGGTACACCCCAGTCTCAGCCACCGCCCACTGGTCCCCGGCCCGGGGCATCTGCGTCGTACTACAATCCTAGCCCTAATCCGACGAGCCCTACCGCCGCGCCTGGGGGGTACGGCGGTGGTGCACCGCAGTCACAGCCACGTCCCCAACCCGGCGCACCTGCGTCGTACTATAACCCCAGCTCCAACCCTTCTGCTGGACCTGGCGGGTACGGCGGGCCCGGCGGATATGGACAAGGCTCACCTTCAAGCGGGTACACCCCGGCCCCTGCGCCCCCTCACTCGGGCTACGGACCCTCGTACAGCGCCCCTCCCGCACCGAGCCACGGATATCCCGGTCAAGCACACGGTGCCCACTCCCACGGAGGTGGAGGAGGCTACGCGCCACCTTTCCCAGGCGGTTTCTCCGGCGCAGCACCCTCATTCCCTGGTGCAAGCCCGGGATATGGAGGTTACGGTGGCGGTGGACAACAGTTTCCTGGCGCCGCACCAGGCTTCCCTGGTGCTGAGCATGGGGGACACGGGCATGGTCATGGTCATGGTCATGGAGGCCCGCCGCAGTACCCTCAAGGTCCACCGGGGTGGTGAGCCTTTTTCTCGGTGTGGGACGAAAGTTGATCACAAGGAAAAGGAGAAGGGTGACAAGGACTTCGCTGACTTTCATTGTATTTGATGCCTATCTGCTCCTTGTCTCCTGTACAGAATCAATAAATTCAGACAATTGTCATTCGGGTTCTTGATCATAACGTGAAAATTCCGTTCTATGTACATACGATGAATGTCAAGCAAGCTTGGGATCGACTATCTGGGTACATTTCACAACTTCCCTCTTAGCTCAGTGATAGAGCGCGTCACTAGTATTCAAGATCATACACCCCACGATGGCATGACGAGGTCAGTCGTTCAAGTCGGCCTAGAGGGAATGCAGCAAAAGTTTTAATCCTTCTACCTTTTTTGAAGATGAGTTTCAAACGAAATAGTCACTTGTAAAATCTGGTCAATTAATGCGAACCCACCCTGAGATCCCTCTTAGCTCAGTGGTAGAGCGCATCACTAGTATTTGGCATGCTATGATGAGGTCAGTCGTTCAAGTCGGCTAGAGGGAATAAGGTAGCTTTAAAACCCCTTGATGTTTTTAGGTGGTCGCAGTAAAATTCCGACATTGACGTACATGTTCAAGTTGTTCCACTGATTGTTCCACGGTATGGAGTGGAATAAATTTCAGTGATATCGATGTTCTATGCCATCGAATACTTCGTAGAAAACGATCAAGTCACTACTGCCATACAGTCTCGAGTCGCTGAGCCTCACCCCGCGTGTCCCGACACCTAAGTGGGCATCGAAAGATGTACTTAAACCAGGGGCCTATCGCTATATCGCTGGCTTATCGTAAAAGTATGTCACAGTCCATCAACGTCTATTCGACAGCCAACAGATTGGAATTTGGAACCCCCATAGACGTCGGTTGAGGCGCGTGGCGATCTGTCATGTCGCGCTAAGTGTCGGTTCGACGCTTGCCCAAGTAGTAGTACATGAGCATGAACATCAGATTGAGATAACTGGTCACAGAGGCGCCGCGCGTCGGCGGCCATGCGCCTCGCCTTAACTCCGTTTATAATACAGAGATAAACAGGCCCCGAGTAAAACCTCGCAGGCATTTTGACCTACGTTGAAAGTGCTTTGAGTGTGGGACGGATCAGCTAGCGCTGAGGCCAACCTGAATCTATCGAAGATGGCGCAGACAAGCTGGTGTCAGAGAGCCGTATCCCACATGAGGAGAGATTGAGCTGTCGTGTGACTGATTATCTGCAATGCTATAGGCTAGAGTGGGATGCGGCGGCAGTCTGACGGCAGTTGTAACTTCTTTGTGCCCTGGCACTAGCCTAGTTGCTTCCAGGTGTTGATTCGGCGGAGCAATCGTTCCTGAGCAAATTCACCGTGGAGAGAATTGGAGAAAATCGAGAAAAGAAAAGAAAGGCGCAGACTTCTCCAAGACGAGATAATTTGCTGTGGGCAGTGGAGCTCAAAAGAGAATCGACAAGCTGGTTTAGGCGTTCTGGTTGCACAGTGCAGGGACTGAGTGAGGGTCGGTGCCGGACACCGGCGTGAGATCAAATGAAAGTTGGGCCCTGTTGGGCCTAAAGGCATTTGCAATTCTCTTGGCTGATTTTCCTCTGTACCTAACGCCCATCGCCACCCCATGGATGCCCGCGAGCACCATGATAAAGACTTTCTCTCTTCAATGTTTCCCCCGGAACAGCAGCAGCAATCTCAGCTCAACATGTTCTCGATTCCGACCTACTCCCAGCAGACAATACAGCAATCGATATCCCAACCCTTGAGCCCGGAACTCAGCATGGACATGTTGAACAATCTCATGTCGATGCGGGGCATAGAGGCGCAACCTACATCTCCCACATCACCTCAATACAACCCGACTTCAATTCTGGAGCAGCAGTTCAAGCTTACGCAGTTGCAGCAGCTTCAGCAGCTGCAGAATCAGATTTTTCAGCAGCAGGTGCGTTGGGGTGTTCTATCATTGCGTTCGTTTTTTATTACTGCGGGGAAGGGAGGAAATGAAGAGAGTCAGCTGGAGTATCTCGCGCCGTGGTCGATTGCACGTCTTTGATGTACTTGGCTTGCGAGAAGTATGCTCAGAAGCTCGCCATACTCCTCGTGAAGCGCGTTCGTGGCTATCCCCATGCCTCACCTTCTATCGGATGCTGCTTCTTAAGGCATTGCTCACGCTCTTGTTCTCAGATTGCCCTCATTAGCAGCCAGACCTCGGGGATGATGCAGAATTCTCCCTTACTTGAACCCAGGCGAGATCAGCCTCACCAATTCACAGGACTCCCCACACCTGGTATTTGGTCCCTTCATCTTATGCAAGCAGTTTATTTACCGTTTGACAGGACCGTCGGCTGAGATACCGGCCCAGCAGACCTCTATGGACTTCGTATCTCCTATGATTCTCACCAACGGCTACATGGACTCACAAGAGCCTTCATACCAATCGGAGCAACCTCAGCACCAGCAAATTCTTTCTATGAATAACCATGCATTGAACTCCAACTACGCGGCTCCCCGAGGGTCGACATCCGCACCCGAGCACATAGCTTTCCGTGTCAACCTGCCTCCACCCCCTGGGGATCTTGACTTCGACATTTCGCCACTCACGAGCCCATGGCTCGGGGCGAACCACCACCAGCAGGCAATGAGCAACTTCTCGTCCCCGAACAAGCGACATGCCTCGTCGAGCGATGACGAGGCGAGCGGGATGCCCTCCCGCAAGACTCGGCAGTCGCCTGCCATCCGTCCTACAAACCCCTCCATGCAAAGTAGTAGTAGCAGCAAGAAATACGTCCGGGGTTCCAAGTCGGCTGCTTCCACCCCTTTGATGCGCTCAACACGCTCAAGAAAGGGAAGTACTGCGGGAGATATCCCTGGTGATACCCCGTCGCCCGTCGATCTTTCCATGCCTCCTCCAGCGCCACCTGTCCCTGCACCTCCGGCAAACATCTCTTCAGAACAGATGACGTCCTCCCCGCAATTCAATCCACACTTGATGCCTGTCACGCCTGCAAGTATCATGAATCTCGGGCGACTCGGGATCAACAATAGCGGGAACAGTATGTCACCACCACCCACGAGGCAGATCGCGGCGCTCAAGGGCGAAGCGAAGGGCAAGAACGCCGCAAGCACGTCAGCGGCCGCAAAATCCAAGGCTGCCGAGACACGGAGTAAAAGCACGCGCAGAACCACTACCGGCGCCAGTCCCAGCCTCAAAGCCATCCTCCCAGGTAAGCTTTTCCTCTCGCTTCCTCTTGGTTAAGGCTCACAGTCCACACAGCAGGCGCTGGTCCCCACCCGCTCCCCCTGTCGTCTCCGCTACTCCTCCCGACGGGTGGCGTACAGGTGCGCAAGACCTCACACAAAGCAGCCGAGCAAAAACGGCGCGACTCCCTCAAAACGACGTTTGATGACCTCCGCGTGCTTCTCCCCCCGATCCCGCTCCCGACAGACGAGAAGTACCCCGTCGACGAGATCCTCCCGGGTGCGTTGCCTCCCCGCGGCCCACCCAAGGCTGGTGGTGAGGGCCCCAATAAGGGCGTCAGCAAGCTTCAGCTGCTCATGTGCGGGAACGAGTACATCAGGGTGTTGAAAGCAAGGGTGGAAAGACGTGATGAGGAGGTTGAGGCCCTCAGGCAGGAGGTTAGGCGGCTGCGGCTTGGAGTCGGCCTGATGGAGGGTGAGGAGGAAGTGGATTTGGAGAAGGATTTGGACGCGGTTGAGAAGCTCGGTGGGGGTACATTGGGCATGGGTATGGGCTCGGGGCCTGTGCCGATGCCGACCTTAGGAGAAGATCAGGATGAAGTGGACGACGATCCTGGAGAGGAATAAGGTTGTGTTTACCGGATTTTTGGAGGCGCGTAGTCGAGAGGGACTTGAAAATATTAGAAATGTAACTGGTAGTCGTTGGTACAATAGTGCCATTGCAATGGTTTGAGGTACAAGCGCAATAATTTATGCCTTATTATATCTGTATTTCACGTCTTTCAAGTTCGTCTGTACACTGCTGTACATACCGATACTATAGTGGTCAAATAATTTTCCTTGTTGTAAGATGATGTGGTGGGATTACAGCTGTTTGCATAAGGGTTGGCAGTAGAACGAGAATTCTATGTACTTTACAACATTGCTTGGGAAGGAGTTCAATTATGCGTCGAAACAGGTGAGTGCACGCGGCTTTCAACGGCTTTGCTCGACGCGTTGCGTCTTGGCTCTAATAGTAGGATGCGTAATGTAGGCTAGCTCGCTGGCACTGGTGACCGTCGACCGATCACTTGGCAAAAGCGCGAAGTCGTTAGGCCCAGTGATTTCAACCTCCGTCATTTGTGGAATTGCAATAACAGCACAGCGTCCAGAATACAAAGTTACATCTATAGCCCGAGCAAAGCAAAGATAGGTAAACCTAGAAGAAGATCCATAGTAAAGGTAAATCTACTATATAGCCCAAAGCAAGGAAAATGACAGGTAAAAGGTCTATGACAGAGATCTAGTCGACGCGGCGCACGGCCCTCGGGACAAACAGCCAGGCCAAAAGCATCGTCGTCAGCATGGCTACCATCCTGCATATGCGAAAAAATCGTTAGCACACAGCAAGAGACACAAAAATGACGTAGGAAGTTAGGAGATGGCACGCACAATGGTTGGAGGGATATAATACCGAAGCGGGAGGACAGGACCCCAGTCAGGAAAGGGCAGGGCGGCAGAGCCTACCTGGCGATACCGGTAATCCACCCGATGCATACGGTGAGCAGCCACCGGGGGATGATTTTTGAAGAGTGCGAGACCATGACGGGGAACATGGGCCCCGAGACGAGCCCGACCAAGGAGACCTGTACAAGATGAGCATAAGAAATGCGGATACAGGATCAAAAGAGGAAGAAAGGTAATGAGGACTTACGGCAACTGAGTTCCCGATGACGGACGGTACGAACGAGATTGTAATCTCCAATCAGTAGGTATGATTGTTTGAGATTGCGAGAAAACCAAGAACCGGCGTGCATGATGGCGACGATGCTATAGAGGATTACTACTTTATGGCCCCCGGCCTATGATATCGTCAGGACCGATACTGCGAAGGCATGGTGGCAAGAGGGGCATAAGAGTTTGTTAAACCACATGAGGCCGATACGCCCCAGCATCAGGCCTTCCCAAGGCCATTAGTGGTCAAACGTATGAAGGTTACGCGATGGAACTCACCGCCGAAGAAACCTGACGAGACGTATCCGGAGGAACTTCCTCCTCCTCGCTCACGGATGATGAAGGTAACAATCCAGCCTAGGTACGTTGCAGGCGTCAATGTCGGGATCGGTTAACAGCTGAATTGAAGTCGCACCTCCAACTGTAACCTCAGTCCCAATGTAGATGATGGCCCAGAT